CTGCTCTTCTTTAAAGAGTTTACCAAATGACCCAAAGAGTGAATTCAGCATAGGAGGGTTAAGGTGAATGACTCAACATGATTTTGCAAAAGTTCCCCCCCCCATAACACATCACCGTTTGAGTCTATGCTGACTTTTATTGCAGACAGATCTCCAGTCACAGAGATAATAGCTTGCAAATATTTTTATTGTCCGTCTGTCACACAACTTCTGATGACATGGTTTGACAAAAGGCCCAACGTGGGATGCAGAGAAGAACACCTGTTATACTACAAGGTTGACAGTGGAAAAAGATGAAAAAATACATCACAAAAAGAAAAAGAAATCAAGAAAACAAAAGCTGTTTCAGCTGGTGGCCAAAGCAGCCAACAAAACAAACACAAAAACAAGACGTATGGAAGTAATGTGGTAAGGTTTCAAACCTGGATGGTTGTCTTAATGTTCGGTTGTGGTACACGTAGAGGAGGTGCCTGGGCTGCAATCTTCTTGAACTTCGCTGACACAGGCTGGAAGATGAGATCATCCTCCAAACTATCCTCCACTGGTACGGTGCGCTGCAGTTGTAACGTCTGCTGTTTGGCCTGTCTCTGCAATAAACAAAGGTAAAGAGCACCATGTATGCAATTCTTGTATGGACACCGACATCTCATTGTTTTAAACAGGTATGTCTGAGAGAGCATCTTCAACCACTTGCTGATGATACATGTATTTCCAATCTCACACTTGTGCTGGGAAAATGGACTTAACAAATGCTGACCCTAGTGGTCATTTATTCACAGTTAATGAGACATTCCTTAAAGCATCATGGCATTGTCACTTTTTAGTATGCTGACAGTATGTTGCCAAGTGATATTTGCTACGACGCCTGACTTACAAAAAGGTTTTTAGAAGAGGTTTTTATAAGGAGATAATACTGAAAAATGTAAGAAAAAATTATGTTCTTAAAAACCATTGAGCATGCATTTAAAGAAAATTTTGTTGCAATTTATGTGCACAGAGTAATCTGGCAATACAGACAATTCATAATTCAGCGCTCCACTAAGAGGACATCACGGAAGGGCCCTTTTTTGCAGTGCACTGTGGGAAGTAGTCAACAAAGTCTATTTGCCAGCTGTATTTCTGTTGTCTGTTTGTCGGGGACAAAGATTTGTAAATGTATTTTGACTAGCAGTTTTCATCAATCGTTTCTTCTCTGTATTGCAAGAAATGTCCACAGGCAAGTTCGATCAAGGACCATAGTTAACCATGGTTCGTGATTAGTGTCCAGGTGAAAGTTGATAGCAGCCACAAATATTTTGATAGCAAGCATCAGTAATAGGGATCAACTGATGTTGGTTTTAACTGCCAATCCGATGTGCAATGTTTTGATTGAAACATTGGCCGATGTCAGATCCAATCCGATTTTTTTTTACCAAGATCAGATGTTTTTTGTCAAGTCCAAATGCAACCACTTGAGTAGTGCTGGGGCAAAAAGAACTGCAAATATACTTCAATATGACTTGTTTGCAAAGTATTTCTCATTGAATGTCCAGAGGAAAGTTGTTTCTGGCGGAAAATGCTACAAAAGCAGCATGAAGTTTTGCAAGTGGTGTTGACAGATGATAACTAGTGTTATCACAGCTTTGTCAAAATTAGCCTTTGTGTACTGCCTACATGCTTGCAAGAAGAGAACCGAGGCCAAGCTCTTCAGATCAACACACAATATTCAAGCAACCACTTTACCTTCTGTGCCGATTTGTTGACAGTGGTGACCTGTAGTCCGTCCGTGCTGATTGACACCCCCCCACTGTCAGCTCCCACCTTGGCCTTGGGTGTCTTAGTCTGTGGGTTGCTGATGGTGAATTGTGTGGGCCCCGTCATCTGACGCTGCTTGGCTGCTGAGGGATTGTTGATGGTGATTTCTGTCAGCTTTCTCTACGGAAGACAAAAATTGGGGAAAGTTATACAAAGAGACATTTGAAAATGAAAAAAAAAAGAAGGCTGTGGTAAGAAATGAATTAGTAACATCTTTCAGTAATTACTTCCCATTCGAAAAGTTAGACACTTTGATTGGGCTTTATGAAAAATGGGTCAATATCCTAGAAGTGACACAGTGAATGGGCTGGTATGGCAGACCAATATAAGTCTACACATATGACTGATCCTGAATGACCTCTGATACGCCTCCATTTGGGCATAGTTAGAATACCGACCAGGCTAATTCACAACCAACACTTCCTGGAAGTGAAACTAGTGTATTCCCAGTGAGTGGAGTGAATGGGATACTGTCAGTACACAGCACAGCATTGCTCATTCCAGTCAATGACTGTGATGAGTATATAACATTGAAACCCCCAGTGTTGTAGTGGAGTCCATTAACAAGTCCCTGCAGGTCCAGTAGTCCACCACAAGTCATGGGGGGAGGGGACAACAGATTCCGCCACCCCCATAAGAACTCTGCTATGCCACGCTCGATTATTTTGAAACTTGGAATGCATGTAAACACACTCCTTATCATTATCCTTATCAAATGTGTGGTTTGAAGTCAATCAGGCATGTAGTTTTGCGTTATGGTCATTTGAAGTTCAAGGCTACATGCGTGTCAGCCCGCATGCACTGAGCACCGCAGTGGAAAAACATGCATTTTTGGCAGACCTGTCTCGCAGAAATATGCACTGCGCAAGAACAGTATGCCTGATTGTCACGGCGGCAATATCAGGCAAAATGTTGGGGAGGGCGGTCGATTTTGCCCCCTCCCTGGCTTTTTTAGGATTAAGCCAAGTCACAGGCTGTCCACATGAAGTGCAACAAGTGCATTTCTTTGTCATCCTTCACCCTTTACTTATGACTAGTCTTGTGACCGGACTTATGAGGGGACTTCTGATGGACTCAACTACAATCCTGTTTAGGACTTCTCCCTTCTTTTCAAACATACAGTATGTGTCGTACCTTTCCAGGGTTTAGTAGCTGGGATCCAGGTGTACCATCAGTCCCTGTCAGCTGCTGCTGCGGTTGCTGCTGTTGCTGTTGGCCCTTTTGCCGTCTGGCGTTCAGTTTCACTCGCACATCTACCAGCTGTGCCTTCTTGTTCAGCTTCTCCCGCGCGTCTGTCAGCCTGGCCTTGTGGATCAGCTTGTCCCGGGCATCGGGCACGGTCACCGCAATGGCCTGGCTGGGCCGGAACACCTTCTGCCTGGTCAGCGACTGGACTACCTGAGCCCTGTTGGGCATGGATGCTCGGAAGTTGCCGCCCCCCACAGGTTTCTGGACACGACCACCCCCTCTCCCTCTGCCCGACTGCCAAGCGTTGCTGCCTCTACCCCCACGAAATGTTCCTCGACCACTAAATGCAAAGGAAGAAAGTTCTTCATGTCATTCTGTGCTGCTCTTAAGGCCTATTCCTTCAAGGTCTTTCAAAGTCTACCAGCAGGTCATGTGGGATTCAATTTGCCCATACTGTCTATTTCGGACTATGACCCATACAGAGTATAAGCTCCACCACGTAAAACTCGGCAAATTAAGATTTAAAGTCAGCGTATCAGCCGCACCGGCATATAGGCCACATCACTTTACTGGCGATGTCCAACAACCTACTTCATCACATGTGCTGCGTGCTGAAGCACTAGTACATCAGAGTATTACGAGGCGCACTTCAACGTTCACTTGACTTTCTTCTACAGTGCACACCTCTTTGTTGAAAACTTTAAAAAGGGCCGGTAGCGTGGCGGCATGGCGTGGCAGCGTCCTCCGCTTTCTGGAAATGCCCCGCTCAGCCCAACATCTGCCCAATTTCCAGATGCCAGCTTGGTTTTCAGCGTGGACTATTGACATGACAATGTATCAAAAGCGAGTAGGCCTTGTATGACACGTACATGTATGAACAGGTCTTGAATTTCGACATTTTGGGGGTACTGCCATTTTGGCCTCAAGAAAAGGGACACTTCAAGGGGCACTGTGGCCAATAACAGGGGCAACAAGGCCAAAATTTCTACAAAGGAAAGGCAGTGAGGCCAAGGTATAAAATATTCTGAAAAACGAGTTTAGAAACTGGAAAAACAAAACCGGTGTTTTATGTGCTTGAGCTATCATATTTAAATATTCTATAGCCCATGACAAAACATCATATTACAGGAGCAAGCACATTTTCTGACAAAGGATGTCTTATTTTACTGAAAAATAATTCATAAAAAAGAATTCCAGTGCATTAAACCACAGATTAAACAAGAAAATATGTTTGGTTTTAATTTGAGGCATCTTTTTCGACTGCACAGGGTGAGCTTACCAACCACACCCCCTTACCCTGTAAAACTGACCAACCCATTACGTCACGGAATTATCAGTCACGCCCATGTAACTGAATCTGCTGCATGCATGCAATGCAATCCAAAACTGGGGGACAAAAGACCTAGCCGGAGCTGTGGAGGCCCGTTTCAGACACAGCCTAAGCCTGTGTATGTACCGTGTGTGCCAACCGGTTTGCTGCACATTAGGCCAGGCATAATGCCGGGCTAGACTGGCTAGTCCCACACACCTGTATGTGCCTGCAATGAATAATCATCCACCGAACATTGGGCTGCAGAAAGAAATACATGTAGGATACATGTTATATATTGTAAATCGAAGTCAATCGCAGTGCAGGCAAGCCTCAACGCGCGGTACGGCACTGCGGCGTGTTGGGCTGGGTCTGCCAACCCAGCTGGCCTGGCCACGCGTGTGCACCAATGTGGCTTGAAGACGATCATGTACTGGTAGTCTGCAAGACGAAATACATTCACATGAATGTAAAGTCGAAAACCTATGGGAAATCGGGGTATTTTTGTAAGGGGCACGACTGCCAGGAAGAATGAGGCACACGGCTAGCTTTGGACTTGGACAAAGTGGAAATTTTCAGGGCACCGCGGCCAATTGTAAGGGCACGGACTGCCATGGCCACAGTGGCCATGGTGAAATTCGAGTTACCCTGTATGTATGAAGCCAGGAGTGAACAGGGAAGAGTTCCATATAAGAACACCACTAATTACATGTATTCCCTACAGTGACCTTCATGTATTAGCCGTCAGAAAACAACTACATATCTAGAAAAGTTCATGCCTATGCATGGTGCAAACAAGCCTACATGTAGATGTCCATGTAGATGACCCATTGCAATCATGTAGATGATTGCAATGGGTCATCTAGAAAAGTTCTAATTTACGAGGAAAAAAACAAGTTGTTTTCTTAGAAAACACAATTTTTCGGCACCTTTTTTTTATTTGTAGAATCAATCAATCAATCCTCTAAATAGGATAGAGCCAACACTTTTCATCCATTTCACCCTCGAATAAACATGTACTTTTGCGAAAGCACCTAAAGTTTATCAGTAAAATCGATCTATGAGAGAGCCTCTCTGACTGGGATAGAGTCATCACTCATTGTCCTATCTTGTTATCCTACCTGATTCCTCAAGCGAGGTCCATATATGGCAAGGAGTCTGGCGCTTTTCAAGTTTTTTTGTGTGATCCCCACAAATTTAGTACCATTGGAAAGAGAATTTCAAGAGAAATTGAATGGTATAAAATTTAGCTCAATACCTATTGGTATAGTGAAGTTATGAATTTTCTTGTTATTAAAATTAGGTGTAATTAGTCTGTCAGTTTTTGGAGTGGACACAAGTTTTATTTTCGTCAATGTATTTGAGCCACATGGAGTCTTGTTCCTCATCGGTTCCACTTCCAGACATGCCAGAGTTGGACAAAGATCAATAGAACTTTACATGTAAGTAACAGAGGAAGTGTGAAGTAAACAATATCTTTTATTATGTAGAACTTTATCAATAATAAACATAGGATACATGTACATGTATACAGTAACAGGACAGTTGAGTTGGGCTTGAAATTTCTACTGATGTGTTAAAGATCACTGAAGCATAGTTTTGATGTGATATTTTGCCATCAATACAAAAGCTATAAAAATAGGGGACCAATTCTGTCAGGTGTCATAAGTTACTTTAAGTCTGTTCGTGTTTGACAGGCTCTTTTGCTGACATTTGATTGAAACAACGTGTGGTTTATGCGCTTGTTATTTGCATCTTGCTACCCGTACACCATGCACCAATCTGATGCACATACATACACCATATGTGCACAGTTGCACGACAGCACCCCAATATAAAAGGGCGGTTTGGCACCACTCCGACGTCGATTTTTGACAAAAAACAACATCCTTTCCTTCCTGAAATTCCAAGCTTCCAAATAAACACCGTTGAACAAGTGTTCCATCAACTTCTTATACATGTTTCAGGGAAATTTTTAACATAAAAATGCGCATTTTTTGGTTACCTTTTTATAGTCTTCACAAACCAAAACAAGGCTGACGGTACTTTAGTCAAATGCTTTGAGTCATACAAAACAGCTTGTCATGGGTACGCTTCTAGGATTGCCCTTTGCTCTACAGAGAAACAAGGTGGGATGTTAGTTGGCATAACTTTATTATAGAGTTCCTGTGGTCATGGAAAATCCTGAACAAAAAAATCATGGGAAAAGTGATGGAAAATGAGGAACAGTGACAAGACTTTGTCACACAACAACAAACAAAGATGGCTGCACAAAGTTGTTGACGTACATGTAGTCAGGGTGGTAGTGTACGACACTTTCAGATATAATTTGAAGTGCTGTTTCGCTGGACTCCCAATAGGCCTTAGTATAGGGGTTTCGAGTCAACTCGGACCCAAACCAACTCGGACCCATGCCAACCCGGACCCACGACCAACTCGGACCCATGCAAACTCTAACCCAATACTAACCCGGACCCACGACTAACTCGGACCCACAACCAACTCAGACCCAATACTAACTCAGATCTACGACCAACTCGAACCCACCCTGAGTCAACTCGGACACAACACAAATCAAATCATTTTAAAATAAAAATGTGGAATATTTAATATATAATTATATAATTTTATATAAGCATTGTGTGTCTCCTCGCGAGTTCATTATTAATATTTTGTGATCCCGACAATTTTTTTTTACAATAAGAGGAGCCATAATCTCGAGGGATCATAGAATTATTTATATAAATCCCGAATTTGGGATAGATGATAGTTTCCTGTTCAAAGTATTTCTTTCACAAAAAGCCCCACATTGCGGGCCTTTTTTTAATAGAGGCAGGCGGCTACATTCAGAGCTGAGCGCATAGTTTTACTACTATTGGGGGGTATCTTCGGGAAAAGGCGAATTAAGAAAGTTCATAAAATTGAAATGAAATGTGATCGATCTGGCCATAATCTTGAATTTCCAGCAAAGAAAAATAATCTTGAATTTCCAGCGAAAAAAATGAAGGCCTCTTCGCGAGGTTCAAGAGTCAGCGCTATTTCGGTCTACGGGCGCGTATTTGGTGTGGATGTCAGACAACTCGACCGTTTGCCAACTCGACTTCGGACAACTGGACTGTTGAGACAACTCGACCGTCGAGTTGTGCGAAGTCGAGTGGCAAACGGTCAAGTTGTCTGGACCTCTTTGGTGTAGTGCAACCATACCCACTCGACGTGGGTCCAAGTTGGCGTGGGTCCGAGTTGGCATGGGTCCGAGTTGGTGGTGGGTCCGAGATGGTCATGGGTCCGAGATGGTCATGGGTCCGAGTTGGCATGGGTCCGAGTTGGCATGGGTCCGAGTTGGAATGGGTCCGAGTTGGTTTGGGTCCGAGTTGACCTGATCCCGTATAGGGGGCCTAGGCCTATGGAACTCTTTCCACTGACCACTGACTAAACATTTTGAATTTGTTTGACGTTGACCTAGGCCAACACGTCTCAACAGAAAATGACGGACGACTTGGCTGACATGGCTGAGCGGACAACTTGTCTCAGAATACGACTTGTCTCTCCTTTTGGCGCACATACGGTCGAGTTGTCTGCGTGAGCGCCCGGCCTAGAGCTAGAGTAGACTTGACGTCGACATGCACGGATAGGGGGCCTACTAATTAGTCCAGCAACCAATTTTCACCCGAATTCCACGGTTCCTTTCAACTTGATACTCATGCATTTATTATGTTGGCAAAAATAATACTGAATTACTTAGTTGGGAGATTCTTACCGTCCGCGGCCTCTCGAACCACCTATCTTTTTCTCTTGGATGATTTCATCCAGCGATTTGTCCGCCATGTTTTCACAATTCAACACGTTTTACGTTTAGTCTTGATACAAGACGCCGATGTACAAGACTCCTAAATCATTGGAGGCGCTGTTCATCAGTGAATATGGGTGGAGTTTGGACATAGAGTTTAATATATTATTTTATCTAACTCTCTGAGTTTGGATCATATCTACCTATGGGCCGTATGACAAACGGGGAGCAATCATCCAACAGGGACGTCGTTCAAGTGGGAATTGATCAAAAATTAATCAAAAGAGAAGGGGAGGGGCTACAAATTGTTCAAAGGGGGCTGTTGTACCCAAACGCTAGATGGACAAAATTCTTAACACTAGCAGCAATACTCCCATAATAATTTTGGCATAATTTTGCCAGTGAAGAAAATTTAGCCTACAAAAACAAGGAATGGGGAGGGTTAAATGTTCCCATTTCATCCAAGCCAAATAATCCCCAGTGACTCGCCAAATAGATAGGAAGCCCTCTAATTCTTTTATGAGGGATTTGCTGAGATTGTATGTCAAATTATATCACCGCATAATGGGGTGAACTTGGTACTTGGGATGAACTAGGCAATCCCTTTGGAACAAAAGAACAGATCCATCTGAGTCATGATATTCAATGTAACACGTCTTAATAAAGCAACAGAAACCTGGGCAAATGTACATCTATACACCCATCAGCATGATGTATATCTGAATAAAGGTACTGATACAAAATGCAAACGTCTGCAATATGAGAAGTCCCAAGTGTTACCCTAACTGCAATGACAATAAAGGGTAAATTTTATCCCTCAAAACAAAACAATTTAGCCCATCTCATAGTGCTCTCCAACTAATAGAAGCTCTATCAACGTTTGATTGACCCTTTTCTCGATAAAGCCCTGCTCTTTGGCTTTTCACGAAAAGTTCTTGGTGCATCTGAGATTGATTCATGCTTCAAAGTGATTTCTACTTTTATGATTTAAAAAATCAGATACTTGAAAATGACGGTTGTCAACATAACAACCCATAAATGTTAAATTTACAAAACTCCTTTGTTATACTCTGTAATTGGGTGAATTTCTATCAACAGGAATGCATAATTTGGTCCTTTTATATTATTCACTTGGCCAATTTGGAGCCCGGAGCTAAACGAGGGCAAGTTGTACAACTTTTAACCTAGAAATCAATCTGAAAAATATTTTGTCGGTTTTCATAAGTTAAAAAGTCATTAAAACAATCAAACAACTTTCAAAACAAAAGAACTGCATTGGTTTTTCCAGTTCTGGGCATTTATCAGAGACATCAACACTTTCCAAGAATATTAAAATTGTACAAAATGGAGATGTGACTTACAGCATGCCTTACTCCAAGGGCACAAACTTAACACAAATAGACAACTCAAATTCATGAGAATTAACCTTAAAGTTATCAGTCGAGGAAAAACAGGAAAAGTCATTGGGAACAATTGATGATTACTTACAAAAATTCAACATCTTTGAAGATGCATAAATAAAATACAATTGGTTAAGTTCCAGAATAACATGCATAAATAAATTATCTAGGAGAATCGTGAGGAAATGTTCAATAAATAAAGTCTGTGGGAAATTCAAAATGACACAGTTTGAACCAATGATGTTGTAACCTGTGACTAAACATGAGACTGACCAGTAATGTCAATAAATAACATCATCATTGAATTGTAATTAATTTGTCAGGATTGAAAACATTAAGAAAATAATTTGGCAGTTGGTGTTTAGTGACAAGTGCTGGGACCAGCCTGTGTGTGGCTGCTAAACAAAGAAAACATTTGCCAGGCAAAAATTTGGTTACCAGCTAAAATTTCATCTATATGCCCCATGTGACTGACCCGCATTTGATATTGGATACAGGTAATTTTGTTGAGCAAATATATTTCCAGCTTCACAAATCTGGGCAGAATCTTTCCAATCACAACCTCTTTCAAACCTGAAATTTGACAGTGAGCAATGTTCGACTCGGAAGTATTTCAACGTGAATGCACTGAACATTGCTCTTTACTTTCATATAAAAACAAATATCTTCATATGGGAAGTTGACCAATTGGCTTTTGTTTGTAACTAAATACGGGTACCTTTGTGTTCTGACAGTCCATCATCCAGTGATCACCCATACTGTAGAAAAATTCTCTCTTCATTTATCAAAAGAAAGATTGGATGATCATGTAGACATGTAACAAAGCAAATGGGAAGTGGGTGAGGAAATTACACAAGTTTGGGCTACGATAGTTTTGCACCTCTGCCCTATCACCACAGCAGTGTTTCAATCAAATACTTCACAAGATTACATGTGGAGCAATGGTGAGACAGTTGTGAAGCACTCGACTTCCACATTCCGTCACTGTGGTGACAGTGCTGGCTAGGATACATGGCCAGTTTGCAGCAGTGTGTAGCCGTTAGTGAAGTCTTCAAGGCCAGGGCCTGAGAGCGCTTTCATGGCTCTCCAATGAAGCTGTGCAGCCTGCATGCTGTCCTTCTCCAGACGAATGAAGTCTAACCACAGGTCTTCAACCAAGAAAACAAAACAAATCAAACAAGTGAAAAGTGAAATCAATCTCGTGCAGAACTGGCAAATAAATACATATTAAACCACATAAATAAGTGCTTGTTATCATGTTATGTGTTGCATGGATTAGCAGGTGGTTGCGAGTTCGGGTCCCAACCGAGTAAAGTGTGTAATTTTTTTACATGACAAGCTCACAAAATATAAAGTGTTGATACCAATCGGCCACTACTGGTCCAAAGGGTCCAAGCCGTTGTGACCGTCCTACCAACTTGAAGTTCCTTTTATCAAGCCCAGACCGTCTTCAAATTTTCGATCAAAACATTTTCAATGGGTACGCAAGCCTCGGAAAATGAAATGTCAGCATTCAACACGCAACAATTTTTGGACAAACCTCTGATGGTACACTTCACTTCCACATGGACCAAGAATCAATATGAAATGTGACCCAAATGTATTGTACATCACCACAGCAACCTTTGTGTTAAACCCCTCTCAGCAAATCTTATACAATTGGCATCAGTAGAAACCTTCAACATTTCCATCATTGCTCCTTCCAATGCAAACTAAAACAAAGTTACTGAAAAAAAATGGCCTTCAGAATCACTTTGTGGGATCCGTTCTCAAATGTGACTGAGGGTAGTACCTGGTCTAGATGAGCCAAATTCAGCCAAAGCGTCTTCGTAGCCACGGCGTATTCTGGCCATGTTGGGCTCTGGCTGGGCCTGCTCTATGGTGATGTACTGTTTGAAGAAATCCACTGACAGAGGTCTTTCCCTGGACAGCCTGCAATCGGTAAAGGGATTCGTATGACCGAGTATACAGATACTGGCTATGTTGGTAAATTTTGACAGTGACCTTTGAGCTTGTGCAATATTCAAGTTAACATTTCACTTAACTGCCCTTAACTGAGAGGTGAAGATCTTACGAAGGTGTGCCTCATTTACACTAAGGTGATGTTAAATGTGTGCAAAGCATTGATGAAAAAGGCTTGGCACTGCGATTTCAGAGACAGTTAGTGTGGGCGGAGTATGACTCTGGTCCAGCCCTGGACTAATTTTAGGACTGAAGAGCAGCCTTTGCCCCCTGCAAAGAGAGAAAAACAATGACACCAACCTCTTATAGATCTTTCTAGCCTTACTGATGCCCTTCTTGATGGCTACCCACTCTAGATACACTATCTTCATCGGTGTTGAGACTGCAGGTGGCTCTTTTATAGCTGCCTAAAACAGCAACAATGAAACACAATACAGTCATTATTAAATACAATGCATTTGTAATACCTGATGATGGTATCTACAGAGCCTAAGGCAGTGCTATACATTATGCCTGAGGAAGTCTTGTTGGGAGCAGACCAGAAAGAAAAATGTTCAGTTTTAAAACAAATCATCCAAATAAAAGAGGCAATTAAAAATGCAAAGAGAGCAAAGTCTGCCATGAGGAATTTTTTTAGAACCATGTGGAATCTTGAGGTCTTTCCTGAGAATGTGACTTGGAAATGTGAGGAGGAATTCTATCCGTGTTTTAGAGCTTGTAATGGAAAATGCCATGCGCTAACTGATGAAGGGGCAAATCCAAGGTCTGCAAGGAACCAGAGGAGAATCGTGAGGGAATTTCACAAAATCTAGAATAATTTCACCTTTTGGGGGTACGAGGAAACATTTCAGCTTATTAATACTGGGAGTCGATGGGTATCAGAACCAGAGTTGACTAATCTTTTGAAATGACATTGTCACATAGGAGTATGGTACCTTGAATATTTCTTGTACATTGTCAGGGTTCATGATCAGGCACCATTCTAGCCCCAATCTCCAGAGTGGTAGTGCATGCTGGGCACAAAAAACAAAAAACACAAAAGACACAACCAAGTCAGCACTTCAAAACGGTCCACTGCAAATCTAGGATAATCTTCAGAGCCTTTAACCCATCCAATTAACTTTTTCCCTATTACAGTCCAATATGGCAAAATTTATTCTGGATTGCAAAAATTATGCTGGATGACAAAATCTGACTAACAAGTGGCCTGGAATTGAGCCATAATTTACATATTTTTATTACTAGCATCATGGTGGAAAAATGGTGATTGGCTTAATAAAAGGTGTGACCAAACTGAGTTAGCCTGTTACTCGGAATGGGTGCAGAGTTCAAGTGTAGATAGAAACAGTCAGTTTGGCATATTAAGCATTTTCACTGGGGAATAGTTCAAAGACGGGCTTACTGTTTTTTTTCCACAACAAAGCGACTGGCTGCTCAAAAAGATCCGACTTTTATATGGTTTCTGATTGCACTGACCTTGGCCTTGACAAAGGAGATTGCACTGTCAAAGAGTTGAGACACTTCAGCCTGCTGATGTTCCTTGCCTTGAGCACAACGAATATGGGGAAAGCATGCATGCGAATGTTTATCATAAAGAAGGACTCTTTTTTCAGACAAAAGAACTATTACATTTCAAATGGAAGGAAGTCTGAGAGTTTAAATCTGCCGATTGTCATGAGTAGGATGAGGTTTTTAAATGAGTGAGGGATGCAAGGCATCTCGGGTTTAGCCGTGTTTAAGAACATGTCTCATGTAATGGCAACTCCTTGGTTCTGCCGTGCAAATAAGTTAGGAGGGCAAGCAACAGGCTTTGCTAAAGTTTAAGTGAATCACAGTGGCGTAACCTTTGGTTTCTATGACATCAGGTTAAAATGCTGTTTATGCCCTGTCAATGTACATCAAAGCAGTGGTGATTTTATAAATATTCGTAGCGTGTAAACATTGTTACAATCTCATTCTGAAATATGCACAAATGGCACATCCACGTTCAGCAATTCATGCTGTTTCAAATTAATTATACAGAGTCAAGTACGATTGGAAGGTTTGCATGGTGAGCTTAGCAACAAGATGAAAGTATGAGGTTAGCATCATGTACCTCTTTGTGAGTGACTGGGGCTCTGAAAACAACCGGTGAAGTCAATGTTTCAGATAGTATGCTCTGTCTGTTCATAGAAGATTGAATGGGTTGTCAACTTTAATCCTAACTGCCCAAGGGTTGCTGGACCTAACCTTCCCCAATCACACAAACTTCAACACCTTGGAAAAACACTCTTACCTCACAGTACCCAATCATGCAAACTTCAACAGGTCTTTACCTGTGTGATTCTGTTTGATTGGGTACAGCAGGCCCATTGCACAGTAAAAAGAGCATGGACAGGCAGTACCTATTCAAACAAACTCACACACCATCATGCTGCATATCCATATCCATGAGCCACACGTTCTCATTCATGTAAGTCATGTAACATACAAAGATGATAATGAGTCATGTACGACATAAAAACCCACAGCATCTTGAGTCATATCCAGCATACTACCGTATGTATTGGTATGTACAAATGACTTTTGTGATGTTACCCATTCCGGAGTCTTGGATGGACAGCCTGAGGCATGCCTCCCACACAGCCGCCGAGTGGCGATGAGTGACGATGGCCGACGCTGCTACATCTTTGGCCTCATCTATCTTACCCAGATTCTGAAGGAGGTGCATCTGGTGACGAAATGATAGAATGAGAACGCGTTGGACGTTCAACAGGCTTTTACTGAATCTCAGCTTCACACCTGAATGCAGCCTCCATGTGAAATCAGAACAGTTATGTGCCTAAACATGGTTGGACTGAACATAAAATGTACTTCCATCTTTAAGTCCTAGACAGCACACAGTTCCATAATGAGGGTATCATCCATTGTCTAGCCGAGTCTACAGCAGTTCCAATGGCAGCATCTGATATATATCTATGTGCGCAAAATTTATATAACATCATGGATGGATTTGTGCTGGGAACGTTAATTAATTTTGGATTGCCCTGCCCAACGTGTGTTATAACACTGTATACTCAGTGTATGCCACTGAAGGCTTGTGAAAAAACAACAAACATTCTTGGATGGGACTCGAACCCACGACTTCCTGCTTGCTACTGCACACATCTTAACCACTCGACCACCGAGCTTGCCGGTGTTGGCTGGCTGGTTTGAGTCAGATGTAGCATCAGGTACTGCGAACAACTGTTTCCAAGGATGGATTTGAGCAGGGGACATTAATTAATGTGGCATTTTTTTGGCCCTGCCTGAAGTGTGTTATAAGCCCGTACACTCAGTGTTTGCTCTCGCGGCAAATTAATTAACATCCCCCGGTGCAAATCCATCCTTGGAAATAGATTTCACGGTACCCGCTGCTACATCTGACTCGAACCAACCAGCTGACACCAGCAAGCTCCCTGGTCGAGTAGTTAACATGTCTGCACTAGTAAGCAGGAAGTCGTGGGTTCGAGTCCCACCTGAGTATGCTTGTGGTTTTTTTGACAAGCTTTCAAGGGCAAACACCAAGTATACAGGGTTATAAAACACATTGGGCAGGGCAAAAAATCCCAAATGAATGTGCTCAAAGCTCTTGATAGGGTGATAGGTGTCAGTAACCACATGTCAGCTAACCAAATCAGCTGTGTGTTTCTCTAATGTCATCAAGTTGATACATGATTGCCAACTGGCACAAATGTAGAGGTCACAAGTTTTTTCCATTATTAATTACCAGAAATGCTCAGTTATCATGGACACTACTCTTGGTCTGGAACCCCCGTACACACCCACAGCCCCTCTTTGTTACAAATAAGCAATAACACGTTTCAACTCTCATTCAACAAGCAATTTAGTGAATCTAAAAGTTCCCATACTAGCATCTCTGGTCTACAGAACATTTTTATCACAGCCCAGTTCCTAATCTCCGTAGACTTGTTAATAAAGTGCTCAATTCACTAACACCAGCTCAGCATGTTCATCTCCTTTGGAGACAGTGATGGGTTTGTGTTTTAATTTGAATTTCCAGGGTCACATTTTGTGAAAGCACAGGTTTTAACTGCTTATTGATTTCTCTGGTTTATTATTGTATTTGCGCTCCTTTAATCCAATCTCTGCCTTGGGTAGTTTTCATGTACACTGTCTAGTAAATTCAACGTTCAGGCTGATATAAGCTGCTTTTCTATAAACGGCAATAACAACAAAAACATTACCACCACTTGCCTACAATTCAAGTGACTATTCTATCAAGTAATAGTTCAATGTTCCTCCAGCAAAACGTGACTTTGGATTAAGCTGTGATAAAGGGAGGAGTCAGGGGTCGGAAGACAAGATTTGGAAATTTCCCTGGACGGGGGGGTCCAACATCCCTTCCCTATCCTGCTCTGCAGAGCAACACGCTTTGATTTGTTCACTGTCCTGTTCAAGAGTCACTTGAGTTTGTGATCAAACACCAAACTAAATCAGCTGACTCATTCTGAGTGAAACTATCCTTGTTTCCAGCCACTGTCCTGCAATCGCCACGGCAGTAACTAGGTGACTGAGCTGTTGGGGTCGTGTCTTAAACTTTAAGTTTTGGCTAAGGCCGGGGGTGTTGACACACTTGACTTTGGGTAATGACTGCAGCCGTAAGCCGTTTCTATTGTGCAAGTGGCCACAGCCTATACTTTTCAACACAGACTTGGCTAAGTAACAGAACCCAAGCACTTTGTAATTAGTTGCTTGCCTGATCTGACATCAGAGATCATATGCTGTGTCTTAAGCAACTGGCTATGGCTGGGAGTGACAAGCCTGTCTATAATACTTTGATGGTGAAATGAAAGATTGGTTATCTGTCCGTCTAAAGACAGGGTTTCTATACCACATACGTACCCATTTCACATACAGGTCATCTGGCAGTGACGATTGTTTACTGGCTGATGCAAAGACTTGCACGGTTTTCTCAGCTCGCTGTGAAAAACAACAAAAAAGTATTCATCTGTGTATTGGGGACGATGGAGATGTGAAATGGAAAGAATGCCATATACGGACGCCATATGTTTTCCCTGCAGTGACCTACCAGCCATCTGAAAGCAATAAGGTGTCCTAAAATAACAAGTCAGAGTTAGCAGTGAAACTGTTGAGGTATTCATTTAGAACACGCATAGAATTTTTCAGACCGTGCAGTCTCGTGGGGTTTGCGCGCGGGGTGTATGTGGAATTCTTTCCATGAAAACAGTTACGCACGATTGGTTAGAGTTGTCTATTCGGTATTATAAATTCTGTGACTTTTTAATTGATGGTGTTAAGCTGACAGTTCAAATGTGATGGTGCTGGTTAGCATCTCTGTGAAATTAGGACCTGGCTGACCTTGTCACTAATGTCTTCCATTCCTCTGAGCTGTAGTCTATCAATGCAGCAGTTGATGTACATACTCCACATCTTTGCTGTTGGTAGTCTCTTCACAGCCTTCTCGTACACCTCATGACATTGCGTCTCCTCTGCGAGATGGATCGACTCTGATCCTGTTGAGGCAGAATTTTTAACAACAATTTTGTATTTCTGTATAAATTGAGTATTTCAACAACACTTCGGAAGCAAAACAACCCTCACGAGTCACTGCAGCATGACGTGGAAAACAAAAAAAACAGTCACCGTTGCTGTCTGCTGTAAGGTGTCTCTTGGCAACAGCATCCCACATGAGCTCATTCTCTGGATGGGCTTCCAACAAGCTGTGTATAAGACAAAAAGCAACCACTGAACAACACCGGTCTCCAACTCATCCTAAGGACTAGTCTGAGCATGCAATCACGGACGTATTCATTCTACAGTCCTATCCGTTATGTTTGCTACATTCATGTACTGCCTCATTACAGTGAACGTGAACATAGCTTCTGTGAACCGTCTGCTCAGCACCCTACAAAATGACAAAGTCTCCACAAGTGCAATGATAACTTTTGGCAAAGGTTCCTGAAGGTAGACAGTCATATCCTCAAAAAGCTGCTTTCAAGAAGTTTGCAATATGAGCATAACAATAAACGACAATAACGTTGGCTTGAACTTTTTAATCCCAACTGTTTTATCTAATACATTCCATTTTTTAAACTCTGTATATAAATTCAACCGTTGATGCACTGCTGATAAATGTGTCTTATAAACCTCTTGAATTATTGAACCTCTTAAATTGTTGAAATACAATAAAAATTCTTCCAAAACACAACTACTGAATGAGAGCAGTATGCATTTCTGAATTAGTAATTGAAACCCTTTAATTAATTGGACACTTACTCCTGATATATCTCCTCTTCTAGGTCTTGCGTGAAATCAAACTTCTTGCACACAGAGAGAAAGGCCAGATGAAGATCAATATCACCTTTATGACAAACAGATCATGAACACAAATCACCTCCTTATGCAATATTCAAAGACACTACAGAAACTTTAACAGGTAACAGCAGTGATTCGAACTTGTTTGCCCGTGGTTCCGTATTTTAACTTCACACAAGACAAATTAACTAATTACTATAATGTCAGATGTCTCAAGGAATTGGACAATGATTTATTTAGTTGAACTTCTTCTGTTGATTATAACCTTTGCAAGCCAGGTAATTTTGGTCCATCTCATAACCGGGGGGGGGGTGAATTCCCCCTGAAACTCAGTTTGACGTTATGGTCATTTTGAAGTTCATGACCCCAAACCTGTCGGCCCTCCTGCATTGAGCACACAATGGAAGAAGCATGGATATTTAGCTGACCTAACTGGAAACAGTACACCTTGTGCAAGAATGGTATGTCCGATTTTTATGAAATTGGTGCCAAAATGACGACAAGATGGTATTGTAAAAACCCCTTGAGGCTCAGCATGTGAAAAATAACACTGGGATGACACTAGAGAAACTGTTGAGGAGATTCCGCCGTCCCCGACTCTTTTAGGGTTAAGCAGGCTGAAGATTTCATCCAAAATATGTACCATGTGTGATGAAACATTAACATTTGTAACAGGTAAATGGACATGTTAGGAAAATGGGTAGAATGAAAGAAACATTATTTCACGAATAGTCTGGTAATAAGATGTTGATACATGTACAATTAATTAGGTTTATCAAATTCCAGAAATTCAGGGAGCTCTGTGCTTGGAGCGTGAACACGAGAGGGCTTTTTGTTACCTAGCAACAGCTTCCCTTTTTAGTTAACACCAATGACTGACATTAACACTTCACTGGTTGATACACACTGGTTCTCATTTACACATACATATACTGAGAGAGGTGGGTAGACTGATCCCGAATCCTTCCATTGTTGTTCTCACTCTGAATAATTATGGAAATGGGAACCAGACGGTCAGCCCAGCACTGGGAAAGTTCAGGGGTTCAACCACTCATCAATCACTTTTCGACAATACGCACACAGGCAACATGGTAAACACTCAAATGACCCCTGTTTAACCATTTGGTATGAAAATCTCATCACCACTCACACGTTGCAGTTGGCTGTGACTCTCGCAATGCTCAGGGTAAATGGTATCCCCTTGCAAGCAGGTTCGTGTGAATAGTTCCTTCTGTGCTGACAAATGGCATCATCTATTGATGACCAGGAGTGCCATCATGCCTACAGGCTCAGTTCCAAATGGATGACTTGGTGGACAACCCATCCATTCTTTGGGTGACATTGGTTGAATTATAGTAAAAATAGTCACTGCTCAACCTTGCCCCTTGCTGTTGTTCATTGGTTAGGGGGAACTGGTGCACAGAAGCCAATATCAAAGTTCCATCCTCACTATTATGCCATACCTGGTATATCTTGGATGGCCATCTTGTAGACCACCATGGCCACTTTGCCTTTCAAGATGGGGTCTTCCATGCCTTCCTCCCTGGCCTCCATGTTGCCCTGCTGTAACAATGCCCAGCGTTTCCTTTGCTGAAAAGCCAATGAAAGCACAACAGTACGTCATGTGTCCTTTGCTGCTCACGTACATGCACAGCACCACACAGAGACAAAAAATCACAGATTATCATGTCGATATTCATAAATGAAAAATCTGCGCTTCCATCTGTTGGCATTCTAAAAGTGGAAGAACTGCTCAGTTCTTGCGTAAAAGAAATGTACCATATGAAGTGTATAATCACTGTCTTTTTTATCGTGGGCTCAGCAACATGGCATCATATTGGATGCATTGTATTGTACGTTTACTGACAGGTTTGTCAACCCTGACCCTGACCCTAACCCAATGCTGGAGTGAATTTTCACTTAAACCCACATCCAGGGGCGTGGCATTAATTAAACCCACATCCAGGGGTGTGGCATTAAATAAACCCACATCCAGGGGTGTGGCATTAATTAAACCCACATCCAGGGGTGTGGCATTAATTAAACCCACATTCAGGGGTGTGGCATTAATTAAACCCACATCCAGGGGTGTGGCATTAATTAAACCCACATTCAGGGGTGTGGCATTAAATAAACCCACATCCAGGGGCGTGACGTTAATTAAACCCACATCCAGGGGTGTGGCATTACCTTATCTGCGTGCATCAACTCCATTCGAAAATACTGTAGAGAAATGGAGAAAAATCAAACAAGATTTACGTTACAGGCTCACTGTGATCATTTCTTGCTAAGTTGAAACTGGTGACTCAGGACTTGGACTGAATTCTGTCTCAAGATATGATTTTAGAGACTCAGACTCAATTCTCGACATGTTACTAAAAGTCTCAGGCTCCGACTCAACTATTACTACTCAGGCGTGACATTGAGGACTCATGACATATGTAACACCTTACTCACACCTTTTCTGGAAAAAACATACTTCCAATATTCGCTTTCTGCACACCACAGCGAGGGATTCCAAGACAATAAGAGATAATCTCATGAAACAATGCCACTGTTGGATCTTGTGGTGGCTGGCAGGCTTGGATAGTTAGCTTGAAGGACATTTGACCTGTTTCGATCTTGATACAACACGTTTATTTTCACTTTGTCAAGTGTTGCATGTTACTCCTCGGCAGGCAAGCTAGGCACCACATCCTGGAGAACTGAGGTTGAAGGAACTAGATTCCTAACATTGATAACCCCCCCCTCCCAATTCAAGTCTTGATCTCCACTTCAGCCTTGATACCCAGTAATGGACTTTGCAAGCTACCAACACAGGTGTACACCTAGATGAAGACGTAAACCTACCTCAACTCTGAGCTTGTGGTTCTTGGGATGGTGCCTGATGGCTCGTAGTAACAGGCTTCTGGCATTCTCTGCTGACTTGATTTCCTCCATTTGAAACTTGGCTGCTATAATCCACAGTGCTGTGCAGCAAGACAAATTGTGACCATTAAAAATCAGATGAGGTACATGTATATCACACTGAATTGTCCATTGCAGGTTTCTCCCTAGGTAATGCCAATACCCATTTTACATGCATGGTTGCAGAGAGGCAATTGAGGTAAAGTAGCTTGCCTAAGGACACACTGTTAAGTGGCCTGCCTAAGCAGCTGGATTGAGCCCCTTACCCTCTGGTCATGAATTACAAACCCTAACCAATGGACATATGATACCCCCAAATTGACCATCAGTAAATTTTGAGATTATTTCCACACATGTCAATATAAACAAATCCATGAAGTCTGAAAGGATGTAATACAGGTACAACTAGATTTGCGTAATTGGCAAGAAAAAAAATCAATGTCATACAAAAAAGGTATAAAAATGTGGTAAAGTTAACAAAACACCTTAACTTTAGTTGATTTAAGAACAGCATTTTCCGCGGTCAACCAAAGTTACCAAACAACAGTGGACAACATTGATCTCTTGAGTGTTGCACCGATGTCTTACCAGGGTTACTGGAGTGCACCTTGAGTAGTCTCGTAAACAGTCTGCTCAACTCATTGTTCATGTTCTGCCAATTGAATATATCAGGAACCACACTAAAAATCTACCTTCTTAAAGTTATTCAGCCAGTGACGTCTTGAAATTATTCAAATCCCATCCAGTTTTTTTCAATACCCATGATCCTAATCGCTATTGCTTTGGCATTTAAGGATAAAACCTCGTATAAACTCATCACCAACTTACTTTTTCCAAATAAGAACAGTTCCTAATATCTATTTTTTGTGAGCAAATTTGCATCGATGATCCCGACGGGTCAATCTATGGCAACAGTGTCATACTATCCAAAACTTCATATGTAAAGAATGGTCTTGAAGTTTCCATGGCACAGGTTGTGCACCTGTACAATAACAGTACAGCAACACTTCTCAAAAGTTGCAAACAGTACATATCCGATGTGGACTGCAAATGTGTTCAATTACTTATATTTGCAACCCTATGTGCTCAAACATTCTTGTACCCTAGTTGTGGGGACAAAAACATAATATTTCACCTAGTTTATTGAGCCCGAAAACATTATAGGGACAGAGAAATGTNACATGTAGTAAGTTGCCTAACAAAAGAAATTGTACCCTTAATGTGGTGACGGCCTGCCCAGAACTATACACCACCAGTTTGGTGACAAAGCAAACTTTAGATAACTGAGGAAATTTGGAATCTGTGGAAGCACTGACCTTGTTGAATGACACTGTGTAAGAATTTAATGTTTACCAGTACTGTTGGTAAAACGTTGAAATGATGACACATCACGCTTGCTTGAACAAAATTAGTTATCCTGTACATGTACACTGTTCAAGATGTAAGGTATAACATACATGAAATGTGTCTTGTTCCAAGCGTCAATCTTCCTCAAGATCTTAACATCCATGATGACATATTTCTATATCTCGAGTAAGTGGTCTCAAACTTTCTTACCCACTTCTTGCAGAACTGCATGTGCGAGAACCACAGCTTCTGGTCATCGCAGAACATGGTGCACGCTCTCTGTTCCAGACAAATCAATCGAGGCATCAGACAAGTACATCTTGCATATCAGAAGATTTAAAATATTTTGGTCAACTTTCAAACAAAATCATTCAAAAACAAAGCATGGTCAATTTGCACCTCACCCTGAATAGTTTCTGGATCCGTCTGATGATGGCATACTCAATTTCGTCTTTTTTAAAGAAGTATCCAATTCGCTGAAAAAATTTGGAGAGAAAGCCAATTTTTTTTTAATGGAAGAAAAGCAAGCCAGTGTCTTAATTCAAAGGGAGACATTTAACACAGAAAATGTTTGGACATTTATTAAGGTCTGATGAGCGGGTGAGTATTCATGCAAAAGTACTCATTCTCGTACTCATACTCATGGAAATGTAAACTACTACAACGCTACAGCTAACAAATTCTTACCTCTCTTCTCTTCTTGATTAAAGCTAAGAAGTTGACTTCATACTGTAGATATCAGAATAAGGGTAAAATACCAAAGATTTTGTTATATACATGTAACTGAAACAGAGCGTCCTCAAAATCCACTCACTGACAACAAATTCCAGATGCAAGAAAAGGTTACATTTATCACAATATACTGATAAAAAGAAATTGGTGAGGGGAAAAATATAAGAAGTCAACAGTCCAGTAAAGATAAACTTACATAACAATGCAAATGGGTATTGGTTGGCCAAGCATTGGTTGCTCTAGCCAAGGAGGATCATTTAGGATTCCGATCCATACTGTGACAAAAAAGTCACAAAAAACATGTCAAATGAAACATCAAGTTTCTACTCTCCACTTCTATGCACTGTGTCCATAATCATGGCACCAGAATGCTGATTTGTCCATCCTGGACCATGCGTCAGTCTGGTCTTTTGCCTTCAGTTCAAATGAATTACCTCAAATCACTTGATTACAAACTTCAATAAGAGTTGGGTGGATGAAAACACGTAGGGCTTTGTCTTTGATGGAGAATTTCTTGGGTAGAGAGTAATGGTGTAAGGATTTTGCTCTGCGTGTTTTCCAGCATTCAAGGTTTCATTCTGGTACTTGTCAAGATGACCAAATTTGTATGTGAACAAGAAATGAAGGCCATATCTGAATCACTTGAATATAGCTGGAAATAATACATGCATCTATGGGGGATACACAAAGTTACTAGCAGCTTCCATCCATAGTAGTCTTGGCCCCAAGACACTAGTGCTTGATAATGGATGGGCATAGTGGAGCCTAGATGTCACGGTTTGATTTCATGTAAGAGATTTGTTTTATTACAGAAATGTGCTATGTTTTGTTAACTTAAAATTGTGCTAAATTTTAGAACGTTGTGGTTCAATTGAACTGAATGGTTAAAGGTATTCACTGGCAGACGAAATGCCGAGGCCAGTGCCTGTGATTTTATATTGAGTACTTGGTGAAGGGTTGAAAAGTATGGACTGGACTCTGGTCAGTAGTCGTTGGACAATAAGAAAAGAATGTTTATTGGCCGCAATCCAATTCCAGTTTAGTTGGTACAGTTTAAGGAATTTGGGACATTCATTTTGTTTCCGTATAAAAAACTTGGGAAGGGCGTCNCCCCACAACTCAGTAGTAAGTTGCCTAACAAAAGAAATTGTACCCTTAATGTGGTGACGGCCTGCCCAGAACTATACACCACCAGTTTGGTGACAAAGCAAACTTTAGATAACTGAGGAAATTTGGAATCTGTGGAAGCACTGACCTTGTTGAATGACACTGTGTAAGAATTTAATGTTTACCAGTACTGTTGGTGAAACGTTGAAATAATGACACATCACGCTTGCTTGAACAAAATTAGTTATCCTGTACATGTACACTGTTCAAGATGTAAGGTATAACATACATGAAATCTGTCTTGTTCCAAGCGTCAATCTTCCTCAAGATCTTAACATCCATGATGACATATTTCTATATCTCGAGTAAGTGGTCTCAAACTTTCTTACCCACTTCTTGCAGAACTGCATGTGCGAGAACCACAGCTTCTGGTCATCGCAGAACATGGTGCACGCTCTCTGTTCCAGACAAATCAATCGAGGCATCAGTCAAGTAAATCTTGCATATCAGAAGATTTAGAATATTTTGGTCAACTTTCAAACAAAATCGTTCTTCAGTGTCTACCAAAAAAAAAGAACAAAGCATGGTCAATTTGCACCTCACCCTGAATAGTTTCTGGATCCGTCTGATGATGGCATACTCAATTTCGTCTTTTTTAAAGAAGTAACCAATTCGCTGAAAAAAGATGGAGAGAAAACCTTTTTTTTTTAAATGGAAGAAAAGCACACCAGTGTCTTAATCCAAAGGGAGACATTTAACACAGAAAATGTTTGGACATTTATTAAGGTCTGATGAGCGGGTGAGTACTTGTATTCATGCAAAAGTACTCATTCTCGTACTCATACTCATGGAAACGTAAACTACTACAATGCTACAGCTAACAAATTCTTACCTCTCTTCTCTTCTTGATTAAAGCTAAGAAGTTGACTTCATACTGTAGATATCGGAATAAGGATAAAATACCAAACATTTTGTTATGTACATGTAAGTGAAACAAAGTGTCCTCAAAATCCACTCACTGACAACAAATTCCAGATGCAAGAAAAGGTTACACTTATCACAATATACTGATAAAAAGAAATTGGTGAGGGGAAAAATATAAGAAGTCAACTTTTTTCCAGTAAAGATAAACTTACATAACAATGCAAATGGGTATTGGTTGGCCGAGCATTGGTTGCTCTAGCCAAGGATGATCATTTAGGATTTTGATCCATACTGTGACAAAAAAGTCACAAAAAACATGTCAAATGAAACATCAAGTTTCTACTCTCCACTTCTATGCATTGTGTCCATAATCATGGCATCAGAATGCTGATTTGTCCATCCTGGACCATGCGTCTTTTGCCTTCAGTTCAATGAATTACCTCAAATCACTTGATTACAAACTTCAATAAGAGTTGGGTGGATGAAAACACGTAGGGCTTTGTCTTTGATGGAGAATTTCTTGGGTAGAGAGTAATGGTGTTAGGATTTTGCTCTGCGTGTTTTCCAGCATTCAAGGTTTCATTCTGGTACTTGTCAAGATGACCAAATTTGTATGTGAACAAGAAATGAAGGCCATATCTGAATCACTTGAATATACATGTAGCTGGAAATAATACATGCATCTATGGGAGGTACACAAAGTCAATAGCAGCTTCCATCCATAGTCACTAGTGCTTGATAATGGATGGGCATAGTGCAGCCTAGATGTCACGGTTTGATTTCTGGTAAGAGATTTTGTTTTATTATAGAAATGTGCCATGTTTTGTTAACTTAAAATTGTGCTAAATTCCAGAACGTTGTGGTTCAATTGAACTGAATGGTTAAAGGTATTTACTGGCAGACGAAATGCCGAGGCCAGTGCCTGTGACTTTATATGAAGTAGTTAGTGAATGGTTGATAAGTATGGACTGGACTCTGGTCAGCAGTCAATAGTGGGACAATAAGAAAAGAATGTTCATTGGCCGCGACCATTCCAGTTTAGTTGGTACGGTTTTAAGGAATTTGGGACAATGCATTGCGTTTCCGTATAAAAACCTTGGGAGGGGCATCAGCTCAGCACTTGGTGACGAGATTGACTGCTGGCACTACGTTGGGGCATTAGAGGCCCGTCTAACCCGTTCATCCCCCAGGTTGGACCGATACGTTTGGTCGGGGATTGGGTTCGTTTTTGCAAATACTGCGTCGTATTGGGGAGCTTGAGAGCACCAAGATGCCAGTGAGAATGCCAGCAGTCTAGAAGTCTTGTCACCTCGTCGCCCACATCTGACAGCCATGCCAGGTTACCTGATATAGCCTGTAAGTATTTTATTTTGTATAAAAAAATTCAAAAAAATTCTGTGAAGTGTTGTTAATCTGTTACTGGAAAGAACGTTGTAGTTCACGGGTCCATGATGAAATAAATTAAGTTCATTTGTTAAAGCAAATGTTTGATTAAAAGCGAACAAAACGTCGTAATGTTTTAGAAGCTTTTATGAAATAAATGCTGAGGTAAATTATTCAAGCGGTAATCCGAAACTTTGGAAATGTAGTGAAAGTGATTGGTCAGAAAGTAGTTAACTGTATTTAATCGAAATGGACTTTGTATTACAAATAGGGCTTTTTATCTTGGACTGGGGTCTTGGTTGACGGGTAGACGTTCCCCCACCGATGTTCCGTGCCAGGATGACACCTAGCCCAGGGGACGACAGCAGGACCCGCCTCAAACTGAGATCCGGACCAAAGACCACAAGTGCCCATCAGTATCTTTTAATTTTGATATATTCTCCTCTAGGTTTGCTTTGAATGTATCTAAGATGAACTGTGTAATTAGTGGTACATCTATTTAAAGGCGGATTCATGTATTAAATGTGTTCAACTATATTTGATTGTGTTTGGTCCTATATTTTCTCTGAGTCATTCTTTTCACAGTTTTGGTTCAAAGGTACCATTTCCAAGGCCTTTTAGGAGGACTTGTGACACTCTACTAAATCAAGAATTAGACCAGCATGCTTCTTCACAGTAATGTCTTGGGAATCTTGTAGCACCAGTTCAACTTTTTCTTCAGTTCTCCCTGAACTTTTCAAGGGAACCGACTGACTTTCAGGAAATTGGTTTATTGTTAGCCATGCAACGGTTATAAACATACGCGTATGTGCTACACGCACGAGCAGAATTCCACTGTGGAGTGTAGTGATCAAACACGCTAATAACACATGTACACTTAGATATGCAGTGTAACTACTGGTATCAAAGGGAAAGCTACCCTTGGTTTAAAGATATTAGCCCCTTAATGCCGATAGATGGCTACAGCCGTGGCTCTGTGTGAGGATTAGTGCACACTACATATTCATCACGCACCTACGGTTTCAATGTGGGCCTGCTGCTGGACAGGGCTTTGCATACTGGGCATTCCGCAGCCCAGCAGTCGAGGTCAAAAGAATCCTGGTGTGAAGGGGTTAATAATCATACCAATGGTCTGATTTACATAAAATGGCCACGCGGCCAATGTGATGAGATTCCCAAAAAGTGAGAGATGTCAAAAACAGTTGTGCGACAGTGCTCTAAAACAATAATGGAAAGCATTATCTATCGCTGAAGTCTTGGGCCAAAAGTACTCTCTTCGGACATGATTTCTCAATATGCGAGATTGCTCAATCTTTGTATGATAAGTCAATCTTATTGCACAATTTGTTGATGATTCTGCGATCAGCCAATCCTTTTTCTGTCTAATTTAAGGTTTCGAAAAAACCGTTTCAAAAATGGGAAGTAAAGTTGGGAATTTTATACAGGATCAACCAAGCATGCAGGGCACTCAGGTGATCCTGCAGATCGGCCAATCACATCCACGCTTGTTAGGTGTGAGTTATTTGCAGCCATAGTCAAGTGATTTAGACTCCGCCTCTGAATTTTTGACCAACCTGTATATACCGCAGGAAATCTTGCTTGTCCTTTCTCAGTCTGACGAGACGATACTCAAAACCTGTCCTCTTCTTCACAATAGTTCTTTGGAGTAAAGGAATTGCAACAAATTCAGATATTTTTTAACATGCATATTTCTCGCAGTTGGACATCCAGGCACTTTGTTGCAAACAGGCAACAGTGCAGCACAGAGGGGCATGCTTCCCCTTTGCCGTATGGCGGCCATGTGTGTGTGGGCCTGTGGCTCATGTGATGTCACGCTGATTGTATGCTTTAACTATAGCGTCTGTCCCAACTATTTGGACAGTCCCAACTGTAGTGGTGCAGCTGGGCTGACCCAACTGCTATTGACCAATTTCCTTGACCAAGTTTATGCATCTCACACTTGACACACTTCATCTAATATATGCCACTTTATCTATGACATGACATTGTAAACAATATGACTTTGGCACATGCATACTGGCAAATGACTGGACCTTCTCTGCTGTAGTTGGGCTGGCCAACTATAGCACTCTAGTTGGGACGGTATCAACTACAGTTGAGACTGATGCTATAGTTGGGGCGTAACACTAACCACAACGGCACAAGAATGGCATGAATTGAATAGAATATCCAAATCCTGTGTTTTTCTTTCTGTCCACATGGTAACTGATGGTCCATGCAACTTCCTACTCCTACTCTTAGACACAAACTATTTAACGTGGGAGAATGCAACAATTCCTTCCTCTGTGTTCCTTCCTCCATGATTATAATATGACCAGTCCTACTGTTTTAGTTGGAATAACGGCCCCTCCTCAACCCATAGCCCCGCCCCTAATATAGAGTGTGACCATGTCTTGGGACGTTACACGTTCTGACTTGTCCATCATGTCCAACGGGCATTGGCTCAACTTACTTAATTTCTACTTTTGTAAAAAGCCCAACCCGTTCTAGTTGTTCTAGCTCGAGCAGAGTCTCTTCGAGGTTCTGGTGAACAAATTCTGCCATATTAGCCACACTTTAGGTCTCCATTTTGGACAAGTAAGTTTCAGTCAACTACTCAAAGACAACACAGTCAAACACGTGCGTGTAGGCAAAGTCTAGCCTTGTCCGAATGGGCGTTATTATCTACGGCTAAGGCTGTTCTGCGCAGTACATCAAACGCGAAAAGAAAGCTATAGCCACAAAATAGCTGATTCGGTCACGGCCCTTACGTCGCTTCTGAATGTCTAGTCCCTCACCAACACGAACACTCTTTCAATACTACGACTAGACCGGGTAAACTGCTGTACCTGACTATACAGTTCAGTCAGCAATTGATGGGAGGTCAATCGTCATGTTGATACGGCAACTTTCGGAGCTTTTCAGAAGCCCTCTTAAGTTCATCCAAACAGGTAAGACAAGACTTACTAAATCCTGTACTTAAACACCACTTACTCTAAGCATACATGGGAATTTTCCTGTAGATTTTTTGGTTCCAGATCACCCGTCAATCTGAAACAGGAAAAGCCTTACCCGTGGGCACGGTGGGCATGGCATGACCTAGTAGTAAGTAGTAGTGGGAAGGCTTAAGCTAAAGTTCAATGGCTTACCCAATTGAGTAAGGGATGCTCAACGAAGGGCACGTGGTGGTTGTTAATCATGTAAATGTTGAACCTAGGTGTTTTCATTAGGACGTCACTGGTCTGGTGAGGGTTTTGTAACATTACAGGCTACAATCATGATACAGCACAGACTGACAGAACATGAAAATGATGAACGGAATAACAGAAGAAGCTTTGGAGACACAACTTTTTACCACCACAGTGAGTGTTCACCTAATGGAGGTGCACAGCACAACTCGGGGAGCATTGGAACTGTCCCTGTATTCTTTGGAGTCCCTGTATTTGGGGACAAAACCAGTCCCCTGGAAGAGAGAATGTCTCCTTAACCCCTTCATGCCGGGAGGCGGCTAGACATGCCGTAAAAAATGAGATCCTCAGCCTGCTTTTCAGCTATTATTCTTGGCCCACGCTCGAGCAAACACGGTGAAAGAAGGCAAATCCTGGCTCTTGTATATATGGTAATTGGCCTTTGTGTGTAGCCCAGAAATGAAAAGACAGAATTTGCATCATAATCACCAGCTTCACAATAGTCCCCACTTTGAAAGGGATCAGGTCAACTCGGACCCAAA